TCAGCTTTAGAGTCGAGTGAAAATGGAGGCTGTGGGCTCTATCAGGAAGAGTGGTAGGCTAACACTTCCCTTGCTGGGTTTGAGTGTGGCACCCACTGAAAGGAGGTGATCACGGTTTTCTGTGGGAGGGAGGCAGCGGGTGGGGAAATGGCTGTGCACGGAGCTGCCTGGCATTCTGGATGCCCGTCCATCACAGGAACTGCTGGCTCCTGTTTTTAAGAGGCTCCCAGGTCGTTATGCACGCAGCATGAAATCTACTGCCATCAAGGCCACTGTCTCCCGGCCATCATTCCTTGAGACAAGGGACAGATTGGTCTGTGAGGAGGCAGGGTGGGGCAGTGGGCGGGGAGGAGCACACACAGGCTCCAGTAAAGGTAACGGAGGCTCGAGGCTCGGGAATTCTTGCAGAGGCTGCTGCCTGGACTGCGGGCCGGGAGCTCCCGCCCTGGCTGCGATGGGGAATCCATCAGATGGAGAAATGGGGCGACTGCTTACAAGGGAAATAAAGAGTGGCAGTGACGAAGAATATTTATATGCCCATCTCCTCACTCGGAGGGAAGATGCTTCATCACAGGGGTCGGCTGCAAAATTACACTTTTCCCGACTCCCGAGCAGAGAGAACCTTTTGTTTGGGCAGCGGGGAGGACAATGAGGCCTTCGCTGGGACCCAGCCCCCAGGGAGGGGGCCAGGCAACCTCCCCAGTGCGGCCACAGCTGCCACTGGCCAGCCCCCGGTCACCTCCTGGGCTGAAGGGAGAGGAACAAAATCTCATTTTCTCAAGCCTGGGACTAATTTACTCGGCAAAGCCCCTGCTCCAAGCTGCGGACAGACACGGGCAGTAGGGCCCATGGCTGTAGGAAGAGGGCCGGGCAGAACTGGGGCTGCTGCCACCATGGAAGACTAGGATTGGTCAGGTTTTAATTTTTTTATTAACCATGGCTTGGTTCATTTTTAGCAACCCACCCACACTGCCTAAGCATGTTTCTGTGTTGGGAGAGGTTTTGCCTTTGCAATGATATTTTTTTCCTTCAAAATCTGCTTGATAGCATGTACACTGATTTTAATCATGACCTTAAAACATGACCTTCCTTGGGTGTCTTTCATGAAACGTAATCAAGTCCTGCCTAAGCCACAACCCCTGGGGAGATCCTAAGGCCGCTGACCAGGGCTCGGACCTGAGGGCAGGGTCATGGGGCCTGCAGCCAACTTGAGGTGGAAGCCAGAGGACTGGCCCAGGGTGAAACCCAGGAGGTAGATCTGGCATGCTACCCCAGGCATCTGGACTCGAAGACTGTCCTCTCCCATGCACCGCGTGCCTCCACTGTCTACAGTCCATAAGCATCCTAGCATCACGCTCACCCTTGAGGTCGCCAGGGTCCAGTGGGGCAGAGGTGCCCTGTTACTCAGTGGCAGGCAATTCTTGGGCTGGCAGTTGGGTCCACTGGGGGTCCGGCTGTGGTGGGGGGCACCCAGGGACAGCTCTCCTGGGTTGGCTGCTGGAGTGTCCCCTTTGGTCCCTCACCACCAAGCTCAAGGCTGACAGTGTCCATTTATAGAGTGGTCTATCCCAGGGCCCAAAGATGGCATAGGTAAGTTAAAGTGGGCAGGAAAGCAAACCTACCCCAGCTCTGGGTCTGGATGCGAACATCATGCTACCCTAGGGGCAGGCCCTTCCACTTCCTTCACCTCTGGGACCACTGGGCCAGGTTTCTGCTGGGCGCAGGGTGTGGAGGGAGCATTGAGGGGAGTGCTGGCCCAGCACAAAACAGCCTTGCAGACACTGGGCTCTCCCACTGCTTAGGAACCCACGTGAGACCAGGGAGGAGTTCGGATGGGCACAGAGCCCGGAGCCTGGGGTGGGGCATGGTGTCTGTGGCCCTGAACCCAAAGGCAGTCTCCCACCTTTTGAGGGGTAGGAGGCTTGGCTTGATAGTGTGAAATACGATGAAATAATAGTTTACAATGAGCAAAGAATACTGCCCAGAAGAGCTTTCTCTGCCCAGGGACCATCCCTCCTGTACCAAGAGAGCCAGACCTGCTGGGATTAAAAGGAGCGAACCCATCGGGATGGAGGAGACACCGCTGCCCAGGGCCAGCCCACAGGGCCCAGAGCCAGGCCGGAGGCTGTGGGTACAGCTTCTCCCAGGCGCCAGCTCCCCCAGCAAGGCTGGGTTCAGAGGCTAAAAGGAGCAAGTTCAGGTTTATTTACAGAGAAAATCTTCTGACGTGGTTGCAGACGACGGAGCTGTTCACCAAAGTGTATGGATATCAACATACTAATCACCATTAAACACACGCGAATGGCCGATGTAACATGTGAATCTCAGATTAGATGCAAAACTCCATAGCATTCTGACGGCTAGGGTGTCTGTGATGGTTTCACACCCTATTTAATGTTTCTAGCCTCTTCCTATTTCCCCACATTTTAAATGCCAGTTTAATTTCCTGGGAATATAGATGTGTATTTTTAACCCACCACTAAAAACAAGAAATAAAGCTAGGCTCGGTTAAAGGGGATGTGACTGCTCAGCTACTAGCACAGGGCAGCGTGCCACGCTGAGATGGGGCAGATTTACACTGGTTCCCACCCCTTCCTGTGGACAGTAATGACCACAACCATGACCATGACCACAACCACGACCATGACAACTGCAGCAGCTGACTGGCTGAGCCATAGCCAGGGCAGGCACTATTCTAAGCCACTTACAAGACTCTCAGTCAAACCCCATAAACTCTACCGGGAAAGCATTTGCATTACTACCCCAATTTTACAGAAAAGGAAACTGAGGTTCAGAGATGTTAAGTCAAAGAACTTAGACTCATGCCCAGGGCAGCAGACTGTAGAGCCGTTGGCCCCACCAGACTCTGCTTAGAACATCTGACCTCAAGATAACACAGTACAGCCACACACTTTTTTAGACCAGATTTTAGTCCTTAGAGTGGGGAAGAGGATCGAGGTTTACGGTGGTTTCCACCAAACACACAGGCTCTGCACTGGGCCCCTTCTGCATCAATCATCCTGTCCTGTGGCTTGAAGTCACCCCACCCTGTGACTTGAAGGCCAGAGTCAGGACCTGGGTCCACCGGCATCTTATATCCATTGTCCTCACCAGCCCCTTAGACTTTAAGTCACAACGGAGAGGATTTGGAGTGTGACACACTAGGTCTTAATCTTGTCCTGGGCAAGTTACTTCACCCCTCAGAGTCTCCATTCCTGACCCGTGACATGGGAGGAATTACACCCACTGGGTCAGCATGGGTGAGAACCAGTGATGCTGCAGGTGAAGCCAGGATCCCAGAGCCGAGCACACAGCAGGCACATAAACAAATGGGGTGACTGCTGTGGCCCAGTGAGCGCACAGCAGACCCGGGGAGAGAAGGCACCACTCAGGTGGCTGCCCCCTGGCTCCAGCACATGCCACCTCACAACACCCAACCCACACTGATGGGCGCCTGCCTGCCAGTGCTTTTGACAGATGCTCATTTAGTTCTCATGAGAAACCCTCCGAGACAGGTTCCACTGAGACTCCTGCTTTAAACAGAGGAGGGGGAGTGTAATTTGCCCCCAGTCAGTGTGGAGCTGGGTTAGACCTCTGTCTGTATGAACCTGTCCATCCTAAAGAGGTCTCAGGCTGTGTCCCTGCTTTTCCACCTGCAGCCAGAGCAGGCCACCCCCAGAAGCCTTCCTGCACACATACTGAGCACCACTGGATGAAGGACCCCACGCAAAGGAAGGCTGTGAGCAAGAGGCCAGCCGGCGGGAGAATCCCTGGTAGGACCATCCAAGGCTCTCTTGATTTTGAGAAGGGCTGACAAGGAATCTATGAGTATATCTCTAATGTGGTAGCCAGCCATTCTTTTACACTGCCTCCAACCCAAATCTACAGATGACAATCAACTTGGTTTTTATGATTTACGGAAAATCAAAGACAAAGGGGGCCTTTTTTGTCTTGTTTTTGCTGTGACAGGTTTAGAAATTTGTTGTACTACATTGATTCAATTTTCCTTGATTTCAGCCATCTTTCAATAATGCAACCTGCTTCCGCTAGCTGGGTACACAAGAGAAAACCCAAAGGAGCTGAGAATATTGAAATGGTTCTACCATTTCCATCTTTGAGACAAATGTTCCTCTCAGAGGAGAGCTGGCTGCCAGCACGTGACTGCTTAACAACCTTCTATACATAAAAGACGACACACACTCTAATGCTCTTAGGAAAATGGGGAAAACACGGCACAGCTGACCTCCAGTTTGATTCCATTATCTTAGCTCTCTCTCTTCAGAGTTGTCACATGTACCCCCATCTTGGATTTCCTTTTTTTTAAAATATATCTTTATTGATTTCAGAGAGAGGAAAGGAGAGGGAGAGATAGAAACATCAATGATGAGAGAGTCACTAATCGAGCCCGCAACCCGGGCATGTGCCCTGACCGGGAATTGAACCCCGATCGCCTCAATCCTAGGTCGACACTCAACCGCTGAGCCATGCCCGGCCAGGCAGATTTCCTTCTTTTTATTAGGAAAACATCCAAACTACTTCGAGCCAGGCTGCCAAGTGAGATCTGGTTTACCACGCACAGTGGAGTATACCCTGACCCTCTAAGTCACGAAGAGTCTGGGACATGTTCCCAAACCCCTTCTGGTGGCACGTCATAAAACAGAGGAGGCAGAAAAGCTGACACCACGCCCATCCCCCATCCCTCCTTTTAAGCTGGGATATTTTAAAAACAGCACAATTGATTGTTCCGTCGGTCCCTTAAAACCTTCTGACTGAGAGAAGACAAGGAAATGCTGGACATATTTGACTTGAAGTGATAAACACATTAAAAGTGAGTGTCTTTTTCCAAGCATACATCTGAGTGAAATGAAAGTGCTTTTCTCCAAAGGGTTCCCCACACCCAGGCCCTTCCTGTTCCTGGATCAGATCCCTAATGGGAGGAGAGACCCAGGGGCGAGCGAGCAATGGCCAAGGCCCCTCCCCTACCCGGGTGGCTTGCTTACCTCTTTCTCAATTTCTGCCAGAGATTTGATGGTGATTCCCAACAGATCAAAGGGCTGCATCTGAAAATACAGACCATGTGGTCCTCGTAAGGCTGGAAGATGCTCCTCCACACTGGCTGTCATTCACGTCAGCGTGAAACTCACACCACCCTACGTGATCCCCAACCCCCCTTTCCAAGGAGACCAGCCAGTGTGACACTGCCTGGCTGTCAGTGGGGTTGGTCCCCTCTGGTAGAGAGCCCTGCTTAGTCATCTGTCTTTAGCACCCAGGAAGGTCACGGCCGTCCTGACAGTGACTGTCACCAGTGACTCCCACCTCTCTATTTCTCTGTTCCCTGCCCTTGTGAAAAGCCAGTTTGCTTGCTTTCTGCAGCTGTGGGGCTGGAGCCGCCCACGGCTTCCCTGAGGCCTGGCTGCTGCGCCTATGCAGTGGGACGGGCCTAAGGAATTCCAGGAGGCAGGTAGTGAATCTCTTGTGCAGGACTCCCAGGTGTCCAGGGAAGAAGCTGGAGGAATTCCAGATCTTTGAAAATGCAAAGGGGAATGAAATAACTGCCCATTGCTTATCCTTTGGGAAAGGAATGGCAATGAAAAATATGGCATTTTAATGGTGTTTCTATAATTTCATGAATATGGGGGACCTTTCTGTAAAGCTGCTGGCTTCTTAGCAGACAGCATGAAAAACCACACACATGGCACCAGGAGTTTGCTGGGGGCCCAGAGAAGCCTGGGATGAACTGCATGGTGAGAGGGCAGAGGACCCTGTCTCTGAGCTCCCGTCTGGCCCCCTCTGGGCATACTGGCCGTTCCTACTCCCACGAGGGCACTGGCCCAGGCCCCTGGAACCCAGGTCAGCAACTGGCAGCAGAGGATGAACAAGGCAAGCCTGAATACCTCCTACAGAACCCCAGGGCCTCATGGTTCTGCACTGCAGCCCAGAGATGGGGCAGAGCCCGAGCCGGGCCAGCGGGGGTCTCCTGCGAGGCGAGGTAGGAAGAGGCCTGCTTCCGAGTCCAAGGCCCGGGATTCAAAACCGGCCTCAGGTTCCATCACTTCATCATTTCCTCTCCTGTTAAAGAGCAGCGTGTGCGGCCCCCCGGGCCAGGCTGCTGGGAGGAGTAAATGAGAGAATGGCAGGGAAGCTCTTGGCACCGGACTTGGCCTGAGTCTGCGGGCCTTGAGCACTTGCTGAGTCGGCAGCGCCCTGGTAGCAGCCCATTAGTGAGGGCGATCTTGGGACAGGGCCACCAAATTAGGCACTCAGCTCCTGGGGCTGCGCTGCCAGTAGCCAGAAAACAGTTTGGCTCTCACCTGCTGCCAGGCCGAGTGGCGCGCGAATGGGGCCGCCTGCCCACGCTGCCCGGGATCCAGCAGAGGTCCAGCTGTTGTATCATTAGGCTCTAACTGCCCCACTAAACTTTCCCGACTGGAGCTGGTGCGCAGGACAGAACAGCCTCTCCGAGGGAGCAGGCAGGAGAGGCGCCAGCATCTCCATGGCAACGTGGCCAAGTGGAGTCGGCTGAAGTTACTCATGCTCCGCATGTCACGTCAGGAGCATTTTTCAAGATTAAGCTGCTTACCAGAAGGGTTCAGAGGAGGCCTATTATATTTCATGAAAATGGAAACTACAGAGCAGGTCAAATCGCAAGCCGGGTGGTTTTAAGCCGGATCCAAGAAAAACACTGAAGGATTCTTTAGCTGGTGCCCAAACCAGGGCCTTCATGTTTATTAGCTGCTCAAAGCAAACTTCTTCAGAAAGGATTAAAAACCCCAGAAACAAGTCTATGGAGCCAGCGTGGGCCAGGCCTGCACAGCTGAAGGAGGGCCTCTGCCATCCCTGGGGGCAGGCACCCTCTGAGAGAGGGCCCCAGGGCCGCCAGGCGGGGCCTGCAGCCCCAGCCCACAGCTACCCAATGCCTGGTGTGACGGGTGCCCTTCGGTTCAGGGTCTGGCCATTAGGCCCAACCAGCTTACTCAGTGCCTCTGTCCTAAAGACAGATTGGGGGCCTGGCTTGGGCCTCAGTTTACTCAAGGGTAGATGGTGTCAATGCTGCCAGCGGTGAGCAGGAAGCCCACCTCTGTGAGACACTCCGTAGCCCAGCCCAGCCACACGGGGGCCACTGGGTTAGAGCAGAGAACTCGGCTCTTACAATATGTAGCAATTAAAATGCGAAAATGAGGCAGCCTCCCCTCTGTAGGACACCATCATTGTTAAATTAAAAAACCAAAAATTAAGCTGAACTTGGAACCCAAGTGAAGTTCAGTCAAATTAACCATCACATTTGAAACAAAAAGGCTCGGCTGCATCTGAGTTTGCTAGTCTGTCGCTCCCTTTTCTTTCATTCATTCTCAAGTCCTACAATGGGCAGCACTAGCTGAAGGGGCTCAGAGGGGCCTGAACCCACTTCCAGCTCTCAGGCAGCCTGTTGTGGGCT